GGGGATGGGGACAGAGAATCCGAAATGGGCTCTATGCTGCCAGCAGAGCCTGATGTGGGGCTTGAACTCACAAACCGTGAGACTGCAACCTGAGCTGAAGTTGGAACACTTAACCAACTGAGCCACCCAGGTGCCCTAAGGATTTCATTTTTAAGTAATCTCTATACCCAATATGGGGCCTGAAGCTACAACCCTGAGATCAAGAGATACATGCTTTACTGACTGAGCCAGTCAGTTCTTTTGTTATTGTTCTTTTGTTAAAATGCTAAATAAGCTCAAGTTCTATCCACCCCTTTGAGTTACTCATCTCCAGGTACTCCCATGTGTATGTGTGATGCTCATTAATAAACTTGTTTGTCTTTCTTTTGTTAATTTATCTTTTATTAGTCTAATTACAGGGCCCCTGCTGGAAAACTTACAATGAGGTAGGGGAAAAAAGACTATTCCTCCTTTATGGGATGAATGTTTGAGAAGGAAGCAGGGACCTGGGAAGATATTTACAGGGTTGGGTAGGCTAAGAAGGCTGGGGGAAAAGGCTCTAATGGAGCAGAAACAGTTAATGCTAGGGAAATCCAGGACAGGTGATAAGCAAAATACTTATTTTAGCTTTTGATTGTGTGGATGTGAACTAATTTGCTTTTCTAAGCTAAATTTGCTAATTTGGCTATTTTGAGAATTTAGGTATCTATTTCATGTGTTGAGATAGAGTAACAGGTGAGGGGAGTTGAAAGGCAATTATTATTTGATGGTAGAATGAAGGAAACTTATTTGTCTTCAGTTTTCCTCTCCCAAGCAATTACATAATGTGAAAAATTAAATTGTAAAATTAAATTGCTACATAAAAAAGAATAAAGTTCTGATACATGCTACAACATGGATGTTCCTTGAAAACATTATATTAAGTGAAATAAGCCAGACAGTAAGAGACAAATATTGTATTATTCTACTTGTATAAGATATGTAGAATTAGGGCAAATTCATAGAGATGGAATGTAGATTAGGAATTACTGGGAGCTGGAGGGAGGAAGGAATGGCAGGTTATTGCTTCATGAGTACAAAGTTTCTGTTTGGGGTGATGAAAAATTTTTGAAACCGTAATGATGGTTGTACTAGATTATGAATGTAATTAATGCCACCAAATTATATACTTTAAAATGGTTGAGGAGCGCCTGGGTGGTTCAGTCAGTTGAGTGCTCAACTCTTGATTTCAGCTCAGGTCATGATCCCAGGGTCATGGGATTGAGCCCTGCATTGGGCTCCACACTCAGTTTAAGATTCTCTCTTTCTCTCCCTCCCTCTGCCCCCTCCCCCAATTGCACACTCTCTAAAAGAAAATAATAATTAAAAGCAAATAAAATGGTTGAAATGGCAAATTTTGTTATATATCACAATTAAATAAAATAGTAAAAACATTAATTCACTATATTAGAATCCTGTGATTATACTGAGTTGGGGTAGTAGGTTAGGACAGAAGAGTGTTTCATAAAATATTCAAATTACATTTCTGTGATGGGGTGCCTGGATGGCTCTGTTGTTTGAGTGTCTGACTTTGGCTCAGGTCATGACCTCAGGATTCGTGAGTTCAGGCCCCATGTTGGGCTTTGCGCTGACAGCACAGAGTCTGCTTGTGATTCTCTCTCTACCTCTTCTCTGCTCCTACCCCACTTGCACTCTCTCCCTCAAAAGTAAACATTTGAAAAATTAAAAAAAAACAAAACAAAAAGAAGTCACCATACTTCCCACCAAAGAGTATGCAGGGTATTATATTCATTCATGAGGTAAGACATGAATTGCTATTATATTAGTGGCTTGGATCATTCTTCATAAAATTTGACACTAACCTGGAAGTACTGAGGCTGCCAATATGTAGGTGGTCTGAATTATTATAAAGATTTATTTAAACACCAGTGGTGGTGGGGCACCTGGGTGGCTCAGTTGGTTGAGCATCCCACTTTGGCTGAGGTCATGGGTTTGTGGGTTCGAGCCCCCTGTTGGGCTCTGTGCTGATAGCTCAGAGCCTGGAACCTGCTTCGGATTCTGTGTCTCCCTCTCTCTCTAACCCTCCCCCACTTGTGTTCTGTCCCTCTCTCTCTCTCAAAAATAAACAAACATTAAAAAAAAAGTTTAAACATCAATGGTGGAGGCTTCAAGTATATTACAAATAGCATGTCTCTATTTTTCACTTGGTGCCTGCTCCTTCTCCCTATTACTCATTAGTTGTTGTTGTGTTTTTTTTTTAACCAATCTCTGACTTTACTGGGTTGTATTCTTCCAGCAAAGTTACATTTCCTGAGGGCCTCAGATGAACATCAAGTGGGTTTATTAGAAAATCCTCTAGGATGAAACTAATTTCAAAAAGCCACAAACAAATCACCTTTTGGCTTTATTTCCAAATTTTGAATAAAAATTTATGTATTATCTCATTTAATCTTCACAACAGTCCAATGCAAGTACCTCATTATGGTAGTACAATTATTATTCCCATTTCTCAGGTGAGAAAACTGAGGCACAGGTTAAGTATTTGACTAACCAGTACTAAGTAATTAAACACTAAATACAGAATAGTTGAGTACTGGCAAACACTAAATACAGAATAGTTGAGTACTGGCTTTGATGCCGCTTTAGGTTATAAGAGTGGAATGACAGCCACAGGAACTTCGACACACTCTAATACATAGTAAGAGTGAAAGGCCACAGAAATTTGACACACTCTAATACAATGATGGCTGTGGGTAACGTCAATTATCTTTTTCGTGGCTTTATTACTACCTCTTTGCTTCTGAATTCGAAATCCTTTTCTAGGGGTTTTCATAGGCGTGGATTTTAGAAGCCAGGCTCCACGTCCGTATTTGCCTTTGCTAGCTAACTGTGCTGTGTTGAGCAAGTCATTTAGCTTCACTGGGCCTGTAGTTTCCTCACTTGTAAGACAGCTGGAACTGGTGACTTAGGTGCTGGTGACTAGCATTCGATAAAAAGTACAAAACACCTGGTAGATACTCAATAACTTGAAAGATCGCATTGCCACTTGGGTTAAACAGATTCCAGAGCACGCTGGAGGAGGATCTGGTAGCTTTAAACTTCTGCAAAGGAAAGATTTTCTTCTTTTAGCAATGGCTACTCTCAAGCCACTTGTCTCATTCTCCGCCCCGCCCCCTAACCCCTAGTTGTTTTAGAAATCCAGGACGCCCCAGACGGCTGATTGCCCGCCCGCGGTACCCCGGTCGGCGCACGTGATGACGCATGCGCGTTCTCGGTGGCGGGGGCGCCGCGGTGCCTGCCGGGACTGAGCTCCTAGTAGCCTGATCAGGAAGTGGCGGGCGGAGTCCGGGGCCGAGTCGCGCCGCCTTAGCTGCAGCCGCCGCTGCCGCTGCCGCCAGTGCCGAGACCCCGGCCTGGCGGGGCTGCGCTGGGAGTGCGTACGGGCAGGCGGGGGCGCTGACGAGAAGCAGGAAGCGGTGGCCACGCGGGCGTGGGCGGCTGGTCGAGGTGGAGGCGCTGGGAGGCGGCGGCCGGTCGCGTGGGGTGGCCCTCCTCGCTCAGGTAGGGGCTGCAGCCGCTGGGTGAGGGGAGCGGAGCCCCGGCCTGTTGTTCCTCAGGACCGCCTCCTCCCGAGCGGGGAGCCTAGTCTTCCATCTCTCCGGAGGCTGGGGGCCGCGGTTCTCTGCGCGAAACACTAAACACAGTAACAACTTCTTGGGGGCATTGTCTTTTAGGCCGGAGGTCCATTGAGCAAACTTTTGGGTTGGAAAGAGAGGATACTGGCAGTCGAAGAGCTGATTGTGTCTCTTCTTAGCCTCCGACTTTACATTAACAGTAGCCGAGCGAAACGTGTGTGGAGTTTGGGGAACCACGGTGTCCAGCTAAAGGCTGTGATTTAGATGCATCTTCACGATTTTTTTTTTTAAGCTGCCTGTTGGAGACTTGGTTTGTAATGATTCCTAAACTTCAGTTATTACAGTTGTTGTCTGCAAAGTCTAAAGACCTGTTCCAAATCAAAACGCTACGATACCTTTTCGTCCGACCCTACATTCCTGTCATTTAAGAGGTAGGCAGTCTCATTTCATACCTTGCTGACTGTTCTTAGCAGTATTCTTAGGTGCCAGGGGCCGCTCTGGGGCTTACGCAGGGAAAGAAGGAAAAGTAGAAAGGTTGACGAAAAATCGAACGATACCGTGGAAAGAACGTGTGATTTCGAGCCAGAAGGTTCTGATTTAAGTTTTGGCTTCTCAGTGACCATCCATGGAGGAACACTTGATCCCCGAGTTGTGCTGATGATTTTTGTTGTTTTAGGGAAAATGGGCATGGTGATGTATCCTATCTACTACCCAAGTCAGTGTATGTAAAACAGGACAAATTGTTTGAGTAGTCTGAAAAAAAGGAAAAGTTAGGTGGAGCATGCGATGGTGAGAAAGAGGACATTAAGTCTTTTGCTCTAGGTGCCATTGAATGGTACCCGTGTCACACAGGTCGCCTTTGTTTTAGAGGCCTTTACCAGCATTTCAGGTCTGGAGTAGGACGCATTTGATTTAGTAGGCAGGGTATTCATGTCCTGGCCTAGGTACTTACAGCTGTGTGACCTTAACTGTACCTCTTCACTTCAGATTTCACAGATTAAAATAAGGAGTAAGACTAACAGGTTTCGTCTCAAAGAGTTGTGAGGCTCAAATGCTGTAAAGATTTAGGGTTTTTGTGAACTGTAAGGCTTTTATTTAAGTGTGTTGAAATCATGATTAAAAGCCTGGTTTAATTACCTGTCTTTACAAGGTGAAATAAACATCTACACATATTTTCTGTTTTAGGCTTGTTGCCCCCACTTTATCACTTGCGATTTCTCCTTTTTTCTCTCACACTTTCCCTCCCACCCCAGGACTGTCTCCCACCTTCCTCACCCTGGTATAATCATTTTTTTTTTCAGATCCAACCCAGAATAGTAACACTGAAATAACACATACTTGTATTGCTTTATTAAAAAAAAAATGCTTTTCATGTCTCATTTTAAAGTTGGGCTAGATGTAGACAGTATTGGTAAGTGTCTTCATTTTGCCTATGATAAAATTGGATTTAGGTCTAGTGGATTGCCTAGGGTCATGTTGCAGTTTAGAGAGGAGTACTGAGAGAAGTCAGGTCCTTGGATTCCATTGCCTGTGACTCTCACTCAAATAAAGTTTACTCTGATTATTTCTTATCAGTGCTTATTACATTTTTAACTTTTACCACTCTGAGTCACATTTTATCCATTGCTTTTTAAGTGAGGTGCTCAATCCTTTCATGTTCTTCAACTTAAGCTGCGTGAAGGCAAGGGTTTATCTTCCAGAACCCTTCAAAGCTTGGGAGTTATGCAAACACAAGACAAGTACACAAAGATTGAGGTCACAAACACAAGACATTTAATAAAGGCCTGTGAAACCTGTAACGAGGCTAGAGCAATTTAAAGGTGTTTTTGTGTTCGTTATTCATTTAACAAATATTTATTGAGCTACTCTGTGCATGAAGGCTTTCAAAATTAAGATACAATCTTTTTCCTCCCAGACCTTCCTTCCCTACTTGTGAAGAATGCAGAAATCATTTACGTGGTCAGTTTGTGTGCTTCCTAGACTCCATGGTGTTCTAGGAGAGTTCAAACAAGAGAGGAACTTTTTTTCTTTACAGAGGTATAATTGACACACAATGTTACATTAGCTTCGAATATACAGGATGGTGATTTGTACAACTCTGTGCCTTATGCTGTGCTCACCAGAAGTGTAGCTACCATCTGTCACCATACAGTGCTGTTATAGTACCATTGACTCTATTCCCTGTGCTAAACTTTTCATCCTGGTGATTTAATCTTTCCTTAACTGGAGGCCTCGATAGCCTACTCCCTTTCACCCATTTTGCCCATTTTCATATCCCCCATCAATCCCTCCTTTGGCAACCATCAGTTTATCCTGTGCTTATGGGTCTGAAGAGAGGAACTTTTTAAAATTTCAATTCCAGTGTAGTTAACGTACAATGTTACATTAGTTTCAGGTGTACAATATAATGATTCACCAGTTCCATATATTACTCCATGCTCATCAACATAAGTGTACCTTTGGGGCACCTGGGTGGCTCAGGTGGTTGAGCATACGGCTCTTGGTTTGGCTCAGGTCATGATCTCACAGTTTGGGGGTTTTGAGCCTCTCATGGAGCTCTGTGCTGATGGCACTCAAAGCCTGCTTGGGATTCTCTCCCTCTCTGCCCCTCCCCTGCTCTCGCTTGCACGGTCTCTCAAAATAAAGAAACAAACAAAAAAAAGATAAGTATACTGTTAATTCCCTTCTCTATTTTCCCCATCCCCTGCCCACCTCCCCCCTGGTAACCATCAATTTGTTCTCTATAGTTAAGACTCTTTTTTGGGTTGTCTTTTTTTTTTTTTTTCCCCTTTGTTTTGTTTCTTAAATTTCACACATGAGTGAAATCATATGGTATTTGTCTTTCTTTGGCTGGCTTGTTTTACTTAGCATTATACTCTCTAGATCCATCTGGGTTGTTGCAAATGGCAAGATTTCATTATTTTTTATGGCTGAATAATATTCCATTGTGTACATATGTGTGTGTGTGTGTATATATATATATATATATTATGTGTACCTCATCTTCTTTATCCATTCATCTACTAATGGACACTTGGGCTGGTTCCATAATTTGACTATTGTAAATAATGCTGCAATAAACATAGGGATGATATATCTTTTCAAATTAGACTTTTCCTATTCTTTGGGTAAGTACTGAGTAGTGCAGTTACTGGATTGTAAAATAAGAGAAGAACATTTTATTTTTTATTTATTTAGAAAAAATTTTTTGGACAGATTGAGATTTTTATTTTTTAATTCTTTTTATTATTATTTTTTTAATATTTATTTTTGAGAGAGGGTGAGCACGAGCTGGGGAGGGGCAGAGAGAATGGGTGACAGAGGATCTGAAGAAGGCTTTGCGGTGATAGCAGAGAGCCCCATGCTAGGCTCGAATTTAGGAGCCATGAGATCATGATCTGAGCCAGAGTTGGCCACTTAGCCGACTGAGCCACCCAGGTGCCCCTAAAAATTTTTTTTTTAAGTTTATTTATTTATTTTGAGAGACAGACCAAGAGTAGGGGAAGGGCAGGGAGAGAGGGACTCCCAAACAGGCTCCACAGAGCCCGACTTGAGGCTCAAACCCATGAATGGTGAGATCATGACCTGAGCTGAAACCCAAGAGTGGGCTGCTTAGCTGACTGAGCCACCCAGGTGCCTGAAGAGAGGAACATTTTAAAATACTTGTGGGGCACCTGGGTGGTTCAGTTAGTTAAGCGGCTCACTCTTGGTTTCAGCTCAGTCATGATCTCAAGGTTTGTGGGTTTGAGTCCTGTGTCGGGCTCTGTGCTGACAGCTGGAGCCTGCTTCCAGTTCTGTGTCTCCCTCTCTCTCCCCTGCTCATGCTGTCTCTCAAAAATAAACATCAAAAAAACCCAAAAACTTGTTGAATGATCTGTGGCTTCCCTGGCTGTACTAAAGTTGCTTAGGACTCTGAAGTTTTAGAACTGGGGAAAAAAACAAAAGAAGAGATCTAGTGCCACCTCCCTCTAAATCAGGAATTTTCTGTAGATATTTCTAACGAATTGTAATCAGGCCTTCTTATGACACAATGACATAGAGTTCACCAGGTCTTTTTTAATTTAATTTTTTAAATTTATTTTTTATTAGTATTATTTTTTTAATGTTTATATGAGAGCTAGTGTGGGGTGTGGAAAAGAGAGAGGGAGACAGAGAATCCCAAGCAGGCTCTGTGCTATCACCACAGAGCCTGATGTGGGGATTGAACTCATGAACTGTGAGATCATGATTTTAGCTGAAATCAAGTCAGATGCTTAATCAACTGAGCCACTTAGTGCCCCTTTTTTTAATTAAAAAAACAAATTTTTGGTTTGTTTTGTTTTTTGAAAGAGTGAGAGGGAGCAGAGGAGTGGGGCAGAGGGGGCGGGGAGGGGGGGAGAGAAAAAGAGAGAGAAAGAATTTTAAGCAGGTTCCACGGTCAGCACGGGGCCTGACTCAGGTTGATCCCACAACTCTGGGATCATGACCTAAGCCGAAATCAAGAGTCCGATGTTCAACCCATTGAGCCACCCAGGCGCCCCAAGAATTCACCAGTTTTAAAAGACATCTTTTCATTTATAAGTAATTCTGATGATTTTTCCCCCAATGAACCTGTATCTGCTTCCTAACTTCTGCCGAGTAGTCTGATGTTTCTGGAGCAGTGTTGTCCAATAGAAATACAATGAGAGCTGCAAACATGAGCCACACATGTAGTTTAAAAATTTGTTTTTAAAACATGTTTATTTAGTTAGGGAGAGAGTGTGCCTATGTGTGCAGGGGAGGGGCAGAGAGAGAGGGAGAGAATCCCAAGCAGACTCCACGTGGTCAGTGCAAAGCTGGATGCAAGCTTGAACTCACCAACATCACAACTTGAGCCGAAACCAAGTGTTGGACACTTAACCAGCTGAGCCACCCAGGTGGCCTGTAAAATGTTTTAATTAAAAAAAATCAGTTTTAATTTGCTTTATTGAAGTATAATTGACATACAATGTTATATTAGTTTTAGGTATACAGCATTTTTTTTTAAGTTTTTATTTTGTTTTATTATTTGAGAGAGAACACAAGTGGGAAAGGGGAAGACATAGATTCTCTGTCCCAAGCAGGCTCCGTGTTGCCAGCACAGAGCCTGATGTGGGGGGCTCAAACCCGTGAAAACCGTGAGATCATGACCTGAGGCGAAATCAAGAGTCGGACGATTGAACCACCTGGGCACCCCTAGGTGTACAACATGCTGATTCAACAGTTACATACATTACTAAATGCTCTCTGTGATAGGTACAGCCACCGTTTGTCACCATGGAACATTATTGCATTATTATTGAGTATATTCCCTAATGCTGTACTTTTCATCTCCGCAACATATTTATTTTATAACTGGAAGTTTGAAAAAAAAATAACTGGAAGTTTATACTTTTTATTTATTTTTAAGTTTATACTTTTTAATACCCTTTACCTATTTTGCCCATCCCCCCACCAACCTCTCCTCTGGCAACCACCAGCTTGTTCTCTGTATTTAAGAGTCTGTCTGTTCATTTGTTTTTTAGATGACATGTGTAAATGAAATCATATAGTATTTACCTCTCTGCTTATTTTGTTTAGTATAATACCCTCTAGGTCCACCCTTGTCTCAGAGGGCAAGATCTCATTCTTTTTGTGGCTCCTAGTCCATTGTGTGAGTATGTGTGTGTACACACACATATGTGTATGTATACATATATGTATGTGTATACATATATGTACGTGTATACATATGTGTATACACATACGTATGTGTATACATATATATGTGTCTACACATTACACACGCCACATTTATTTTCTTTGTCCATTTATCTGTTAATACAGTTGGGTTGCTTCCATATCTTGGCAATTGTAAAGAATGCTGCCATAAACAGGGCTGCATTTATCTCTCTGATAGTGCTTTTGTTTTCTTTGGGTAAATACCAGGGAAATTATTGGATCATATAGTATATCTATTTTTAATTTTTTGGAACCTCTATACTGTTTTCCACAGTGGCTGTACCAGTTTGCATTCCCATTGGTAGTGCATGAGGGTTGCTTTTTCTCCACATCCTTGTCTGCACATGTTATTTCTTTTTTATAACAGCCATTCTGACTGGTGTGAGGAGATATCTTATTGTGGTTTTGATTTGCATTTCCTTGATGATTAGTAATATTAAGTATCTCTTCATGTGTCTGTTGGCCATTTGTATGTCATCTTTGAAAAATGTCTATTCAGGGGGCGCCTGGGTGGCGCAGTCGGTTAAGCGTCCGACTTCAGCCAGGTCACGATCTCGCGGTCCGTGAGTTCGAGCCCCACGTCGGGCTCTGGGCTGATGGCTCAGAGCCTGGAGCCTGTTTCCGATTCTGTGTCTCCCTCTCTCTCTGCACCTCCCCCGTTCATGCTCTGTCTCTCTCTGTCCCAAAAATAAATAAACGTTGAAAAAAAAAAAAAGTTAAAAAAAAAAAAAAGAAAAATGTCTATTCAGGTCCTCTACGCATTTTTAATTGAATTGTTTGTGGGGGTTTTTTTTGGGTGTGTGTGTGTGTGTGTGATATAACTTCTTTATTTTGGATATTAACCCCTTATCAGATATATCATTTGCAATTATCTTCTCCCATTCAGCAGGTTATCTTTTTGTTTTGTTGATGGTTTCCTTTGCTGTGCACAAGCTTTTTGTTTTGATGAAGTCCCAATAGTTTATTTTGGCTTTTGTTTCCCTTGCCTGAGGCGACACATCTAGAAAAGTGTTGCTAAGGCCAGTGTCCAGCACATTACTGTCTGTATTTTTCTTTTAGGAGTTTTAAGGTTTCAGGTCTCACATTTGGTCTTTAATCCATTTTAGTTTATTTTTGTGTATGGTGTAAGAAAGTGGTTCAGTTTCTTTTTTGCCTGTAGGTGTCTAGTTTTCCCAGCACCATTTGTTGAAGATTCTTTTTCCCATTGTATGTTCTTGCTTCCTTTGTCATGAATTCATTGACCAGTAAGGGTCGGTTTATTTTTGGCCTCTCTCTTCTGTTCTGTTGATCTATGTATCTCTTTTTGGGTCAGCACCATACTGTTTGATTACTGTAGCTTTGTAGTATATCCTGATACCTGGGATCATGATACCTCCAGTTTTTTGTGCTTCTTTTTCAAGATTCTTTTGGCTATTCAGGGTTTTTTGTGGTTTCATACAAATTTTAGGATTATCTTATTCTAGTTTTGTGAAAAATGCTATTGGTATTTTGTTTGGGATTGCATTGAATCTGAAAATTGCTTTGGGTAGTAAGGACATTTTAATGATGTTCTTCTAATCCATGAGCATGGAATATCTATTTGTTTCACCTTTAGTTTCTTTCATCAGTGTCCTTTAGTTTTCAGAGTGTATGTAGGTCTTTGATCTCCTTGGTTAAATTTATTCCTGAGTATTTAATTCTTTTTGGTGCAATTGTAAATGGGATTGTTTTCTTAATTTCTCTTTCTCCTACTTTGTTATTAGTGTATAGGAACAGAACAGAACAGATTTCTGTACATTAATTTTGTATCCTGCAACTATACTGAATTCACTTACTAATTTTTTGGTGGAGTCTTTAGGGTTTTCTGTATATAGTATCATGTCTTCTGGAAATAATGACAGTTTCACATTTTCATTACAAGTTTGGATGCTTTTTATTTTTCTTGTCTGTTTGCTGTATCTAGAACTTCCACTGCTGTATTGAATAAAACTGGTGAGAGTGGACATCCTTGTCTTATTCCTGATCTTGGAGAAAAAGCTCTCACTTTTTTTTTTACCATGGAGTATGATGTGAGCTTTGAGTTTTTCATTTTGATCTTTATTATGTTATGTTGAGATATGTTCCCTCTAAACCCACTTCTTTGAGAGTTTTTATCCTGAACAGATTTTGTATTTTGTCAAATGCTTTTTCTGCATTTATTGAGATGATCATATAGTTGGGGGAAATTAGTTTTAATATTTTTTTAACCTAGGATATCTAAAATATTATCACATCAACATGTGATAAAATATCTCCTCATGAGGTGTCTCGGCTTAGTAGGCTAAGTGTCCAACTCTTGATATCAGCTCAGGTCCTGATCTCACGGTTCATGAGATGGAGCCCTGTGTCAGGCTCTGTGCTGTCAGAGCAGATTCTCTCTCTCCCTATCTCTATGCCCTTCCCCTGCGTGCTCTCTCTCTCTCTCTCTCTCAAAAAATGAACTTAAAAAAAAAATCTCATCAGTAGTTTTAAAAGTTCTTTTGTGCTAAATCTTTTAGATCTAGTGTGTACGTTTCAACTCTAGCCCCATTTCATGTGTTCCATAGGCACATGTGACCAGTGGGTATCATATGGGACAGTGCAGTTCCTAGAGCTTTAGAGACTAATTCTATTTCTCTTTATTAGTGCCTAGCACAGTGCCTGGCACTAACTGAAGATTGTTAAGTGAATCACTAAGTGAATTAAAACAAGTGCTGGAGAACTTATAATAAAAGGTAATTTTGTTTGGAAGTAATTCTTCTTGGGACCTATGGATTTGGCCTATAGGTTTGAGTGATTAGAATCTGTATTGAAGATATTTACTTTTATATTTGCAGAAATATGGATCCAAGCCTGTTGAGAGAACGAGAGCTGTTCAAAAAACGAGCTCTTTCCACTCCTGTAGTAGAAAAACGTTCAGTATCTTCTGAGTCATCATCATCATCATCAAAGAAGAAGAAAGCAAAGCTAGAACATGGAGGATCATCAGGCTCTAAACAAAATTCTGGTCAGTAAAAAATTGACTGTTTAGGACTGTTTTTATTTTTCAGGAAACCATTTATTTAATCATGGCAAGTTCATTTTTTATAAAGTTTTTTGTTTTTGTTTTTTTTTTTTTTTTTTGAGGGAGTGTGTGCATGCACTTGCTTGCTGGGAACAATGGGGGGGGGAGAGAGAGAGAGAGAGAGAGGGAAAGAGAAAGGAAAGAAAGAAAGAAAGAAAGAATGAGAGAGAATCCCAAGCATGAACCATGAGATCATGACCTGGGTCGAAATCAAGAGTTGGACACTTAACTGACTGAGCCACTCAGGCACCCCAACAAGTTCATTTTTTAGTTCAACATTATACAGTGATAAGAGAGTATATTGCTTTTAAGATATTAATCATCTTGTGTTGTAGTTAGAATTTAGGTTATTATCTTTTCAGAGAATAACTTTGTTGAAGTTTATATACCATATAGTTCACTCATTTTAAATGTACAATTCAAATATTTTTAGTAAATTTAGAGAATTGTGCAACTATTGATATAATTCAATTTTAGAACATTTCCATCACCCCGAAAAGATGCTTTGTGCCCATTCTCTTCTTGTTCCCACCCTAGCCCCAGGTAACCAATAGCTTTCTTTCTCTATATATTTGCTTTTTCTGGATGTTTCACATAAATGGAATTGTACAATAAGTGGCCTGTAGTGGGTGGCTTCTTCTACTTAGCATTTATTGAGATGATCATGTTCTTTTTGTTTATGCTGTTAACATGGCATATTATATTTATTGATTTTTCAGATAAAATCAGCCTTGCATTCTTGGAATAAATCCTTCTTGGTTGGTGTATAATCTTTTTTATTTGTTGCGGCATTCAATTTGCTGATATTTTGTCCAGGATTCATCTATCTGTAGCATGTATCAGTACTTCATTCTGTTTTATTGCTGAAGAGTAATCCACTGTATGGGTATACTACGGTTTGTTTATCCATTCATGAGTTAATGGACATTTGGAGTATTTCCATTTATTGGCTATTATGAATAGTTCTGCTATGAACGTTGATGTACAAGCTTTTGTGTGGACTTGTTTTTGGTTTCGTTTTTTTCTCTTGGATAGAGGACCTAAGAACAGAACTTCTGAGTCATGTGGTAATTTTATGCTTTAACTTTTTAAGAAGTTACTAAAATGGCTGTACCATTTTCCATTCTTAACCATCAATGCGTGAGGGTTCTATTTTTTTTATTCTTGTTAAAACTTATTTCTTGTCTTTTTTATTATAGCCATTCTAGTGGTTGTAAAATGGTATCATTGTGGTTTTAATATGCAGTTCCCTAATGACTAATGATGTTGAGCGTCATTTCATTTGCTTTTTGGCCTCTTCATGGGTCATCTTGGGACAAATGTCTATTCATATTTTTTTGCCCATTTTTCATTGTTTTCTTCCTATTGATTTGTAAGAGTTCCTTATAGATTCTGAGTACAGTTTCTTGATCCAGTATCACTTGCATTCTTGGTGTCATATGTAGGAAATCTTTGCCTAACCCAAGGTCATGAAAATTTACTCTTATGTTTTCTTGTAAGAGTTTTATAGTTTTAGCTCTTATATTTAGGTCTGTGATATGTTTGAGTTGATTTTTTGTGTATGGTTTAACATAAGGGTCTAACTTCATCTTTTTGTGTGTGGTTATTCAGTTGTCCCCACGCCATTTCTTGAAAAGACTGTCTTTTCCCACTGATTTGCATTGGCCTGCTTGTTGATTATCAGTTGACTATGAATGAATTTATTTCTAGAATCTGTTTGGTTCCATTGATTCTATGTCTATCCTTAATTCCATACTCTCTTGATTGCTGTAGCATCAGAATAGGGAAAGTGGAAGTCTTCACTTTTGTTTTTCTTTTTCCAAGATCGTTTTGTTTTTTTCCTGGATTCTTTGCATTCAAATAAAATTTAAGAATACCTTGTCCATTCCTATCTGTAAAAGAGCCAGTTGTGATTTTTATAGGGATTGTATTGAATCTGTAAGTCAATTTGGGGAGAATTGGTATCTTAACAATATTAAGTCTTCCAGTCAATGAACATGGATATCTTTTCATCAGTATAGGTTTTTTATGTCTTCTGGCTATGTTTTGTAGGTTTTTTTTTTTTTTTTTATGTTTATTTTTGAGAGAGAGACAGAGTGCAAGTGGGGGAGGAGCAGAGAGAGAGAGAGAGAGACACACACACAGAATCCTAAGCAGGCTCCAGCCTCTGGACTGTCAGCACAGATCCTAATGCGGGCCTCAAACTCACGAACTGTGAGATCATGACCTAAGCCAAAGTCAGATACTTAACCGACTGAGCCACCGAGGCGCCCCTGTAGCTTTTAATGTATAAGTCTTACATGTATTTTGTTAAATTTATTCCTAAGTATTTTATTCTTTTTGATATTACTGTGAGTGAAATTGTTAATTTGATTTTTTAGATTGTTCATTCCTAGTAAATAGAAGTACAGTAGATTTTTGCACTTTGATCTTCTGCAACCTTGCTGAACTTGTTCATTATTTATAGTTTTTTTGTGTGAATTCCATAGGTTTTTTTACTTGAAAGATTATGTCATCTGTAAATAAGGACAGATTTATTTGTCCTTTCCAATGTGAATGCCTTTTCTTCCTTCTTTCCTCTTTTTCTCTCTCCGCCCCTCCGTCGTTTCTCTCCCCCTCCCTCCTTTCCTCTCACCCCCTCTGAGCTGGCTAATAGGATGTTGAATACAGGTAGTGAGAGTGAACAGCTTTGCCTTGTTCCTGATCTTAGGGGAAATGCATTCAATCTTCCATCATTATGTATGATCTTAGCTGCCTGGATTTTGTAGATGCCCATTATCAGGTTGAAGTTTCCCTCTACTTCTAGCTTGTTGAGAGTTTTTTTTAAAATTTTATTATTATTATTTTTTAAGTTTGTTTATTTGAGAGACAGAGATAGCATGAATGGGGGAGGGGCAGAGAGAGAATCCCAGACAGACTGCACACTGTCAGCCCAGAGCCTGATGCAGGGCTCGATCTCATGAACCGTGAGATCATGACCTGAGCTGAAACCAAGAGTTGGACGCTCAACTGACTGAGCCACCCAGGTGCCCCAGTTTGTTGAGAGTTTTTGATCTTAAATGAGTTTTGGATGTTATCAAGTGCTTTTTCTACATCTGCTAAGAAGATCATGCTTTTCTTTATTAATATTACATTAATTGGTTTTCAGATGTTAAACCAACCTGGCATTCTTAGAAAAAATCCTACTGTTGGTAGGAATGCAAACTGGTACAGCCACTCTGGAAAGCAGTGTGGGGGTTCCTCAAAAAATTAAAAATAGAGTTACCCTACAACCCAACAATAGTACTACTAGGAATTGTCCAGAGGATACAGGAGTGCTGATTATAGGGACTCATGTACCCCAATATTATAGCAGTGCTGCCAACAATAGCCAAATTATGGAAAGAGCACAAATGTCTGTCAACTGATGAATGGATAAAGAAGATGTGGCGTATATACACAACAGAATACTACTTGGCAAAGAAAAAGAATAAAATCTTGCCATTTGCAACAATGTGGATAGAACTGGAGGGTATTATACTAAGTGAAGTAAGTCAGTCAGAGAAGACAGATAATCATGTTTTCACTCATGTGGAATTTGAGAAACTTAAAACCATGGGGGAAGGGAAGGCGGAAA